CTTTCTTTCTTTCTTTCTTTCTTTCTTTCTTTCTTTCTTTCTTTCTTTCTTTCTTTCTTCTTTCTTTCCTTCCTTCCTTCCTTCCTTCCTTTCTCTTTCTTTCTTTCTTTCGACAGGGCTCACTCTGTTGCCCAGGCTGGAGTACGGTGGCGCGATCATAGCTCACTGCAGCCTTGAACTCCTGTGCTCAAAGGGATCCTCCTGCCTCAGCCTCCTGAGTAGCTGGGACTACAACCATGCATCACCATGCCCCACTAATATTATAATTTTTTGTAGAGACAAGGTCTTGTTATGTTGCCCAGGCTGGTCTCTAACTCCTGACCTCAAGCGATCCTCCCACCTCAGCCTCCCAAAGTGCTAGGATTACAGGCGTGAGCCACCGTGCCCAGCCCTTTTATAAAAAAACAGTAGTAATGATAACAAAATACCTAAAAAAAAACTAGTTTACTTCTATATAATTGTGGTGTTTTCTCAAAAGCTTTTGCTTTCGAAACAACATCAAAATGAAATCTCTTACCCCACCACACGAAGAGATCTTTCCATTGTGTATGTAGACTTCTCAATGGAATGGAGTGAAAAGTCCGAATTCTTGTGCCTGACTTTGTTTTCATTTCGTTACTGGGGCACTGGGAGGCAGAGCTTCTTTAGAAATGGATCCAGACTCAAGCAGCTTAGTGGCATCATCACACTGAATTCCTAGGAAGTGAGAGAAAAGGAGAGTTTCAGTTGATGCTTACCATCTCTGGGAGCCTTACTTCTGCTCTGAACGACTTATTTTTTGACTGACAATTGTGGGAAATGTTTCTACTTTGGAACTTGGTTGCAAAATCCCAGGACTGGACTAGCCACCCACCCTGAACCCTGCGCGAGCCTGGTAACTCACACCGCTGCACAGCGGAGGCAGAAATGCAACGTCCTAAACCTCAGTGCACAGTGCCCGGGCAGTCCAGCGTGTGAAGGGGACCGGGGCCATGGTGGTGGCCCTGACATGGTGCAGGATGAAGCAGAGGTGCCTTAGAGATCTTGGTCTTACAGGCTGATGTTGTCTTTTTGAATTCGTGGTTGCATTTTCACAAACTGCTAATAGTTTCCATTCATGATAAACTTACAAACTAATACGACGTTTTGATTTTTTTCCTCAGGCTATAAAATTGGTATTAAAAATTTGCTGAGGCCTGACGTGAGAAACTTCTGGGAGAAATTAGGAAGTTATGTGGCTACTGAGGAAGAAGGAGGTCATGTGGACATCTTTGTGCCCCTTGGAGCGTCAGGTCAGCTTGGAACACACTATAGGCCACTTTACGGTGATATGCTGTGAATGTGTGACGCGTCTCCAGGTCAAACGACTCAGTCCCATTTCAATTTTTATTTTTTTCTCCATTTATACCTCACACACCCAGGTATTTGAGGGAAGTAAGGGTTGGAGGGAGTGGTTAGAGCAACCTATCTGTGCAGAGATAAAGTCACTAATGGCAAGACCCAGGAGCATTATTCATATTTATTCTAGAAAACACAATAAAATCAGCCTCCATAATATAGGGGAAGGTGCCTGCCCAGCATAGGAACCATAATCATTCCATCTGAGAACCCCCCCACCTGCTGATCTCTGAACCTGGAGAACTATGAACTTGGTGACCGACCAAGGACCTGAGCTGGAGTCTGCCCAGGCCACTTCTTAGCTGTGTGGCCTTAGGCAAGCTTGTGGACCTCAGCTTCCACATTTGGAGCTTACCTTACTTTAAGGACTCCTGAATATCAAGATAATGTAAATATTTAAGTAATAAGAAATTATACTGTAAATACTTAGGTAATATTAAAAGCAGTGACGTGCTTTGTAAAGACGAGTATGATTGACAATCACTGAGGTTGCTGTTATCATGTAAGTGTCTGCCTGTCTAGAATCAGAGTTGATTTCAGTGCGCGAAGAGAAACTTCAGAAACATTAAGTCAAATTCAGTCTTTGGATATCTGTTAAATAAAAGCTCTGTATTCATGGGCTATGTTGTTTTTCCAAGCAGAGCAGGGGAGAGGGAGTGTGAAATTAAATTATCTATTCCTTAGGGAACTGTGAGTTTTCAGGTTCTTCCTAATCCTCAGGTTTCACAGGACTATTCAACATATGCAAAGCAGGCCCCTGGCAGGCCTCAACCAGGGGAAAGGAAAAACAAAAAGGGATGGGAAGGAGTTTAAAAGGAAATGAAATACAAAATATTATAAAAATATTTTTGTAAATAATTTTATAGTTATTCCAATTATATGTATATATGTACAGTGTATATATACCCATATGTATATATATAATCTCAGCTATGTAGAAATTATGCATAGATTCTAGAAGAAAATATTCCAAAACATTAAAACAGCACGTTACTAGATGTGTTTTACAATTTTTCTACTTTTGAAATCAGGTTTAAAAGACTAGGTCACAAAGAATGTGGACAGTGTGATCCCGCCGTTTAAAACGCACACACGTGTGGGGTGGCGTACATACGTGCAGGCAAGGGTTTGGAAGGGTATACACCAAGGTGTTAACGCCAGTCGGACAGGATGATGTGAGTTTTCCTTTCTTCCCCCCCCCTTTAAAAATTGTCTTTTGTTTGCCTCTATTTTCTATAATGAACTAATATCACTTTTATGATGAGAGCTAAGCAAATTTTTTAAATGAAATAAAAGAAAAAAATACAGGAAAGTAAAGTATTGAAAGACAGAATAAGAGCAAAAGGGGAAAAGAACAGTGGATTTGGTGACATAAAAATTATCTCAAGTGAAACTTAATGGCAGCCAAAAAAATAAAAATAGGTTTCCTACCATCATTCTGGGCCCTAACACCATCCCTAAAATTCTCATCAAATGTCATATCCACCTGGATGAATCATCCAAGACACTTGACTTCTCAGCCTAAATCTCTTTTTCTACCATCTCAGCATCACTCGGTGCTTGTCAGCCCCGGTAGCTGTATCACCCCCAGACTCTTGATCTCAAGCATTTGTCTCTGAGCACCACTTCTGAGTCATGTGCTCAAATATCCCCCCTCCAGCAATTCTTTGTCTAAGACCCCCAGTCTACACATGCCCACTTTTCCAGTCTCTGCCACCATGCCTTCACGCTTGCTTCCTTCCTTGTTAAACTTGGACTTAATGGTCCAACATTCTCATCACTCCCTTGCAAAGAATTTGAACTTCCTTGTCTCTTTCTCCTGGCTACTCCCAACTCATTTGGCTAAATCCCAATGCTGGTCAAAACACAACTCTCTGCACACCTACTCCTGCCTGCACTAAATCAGCTGAAGACTGTTTGGAGAAAGTAACATTAATACAGCTGTATTGATTGGTCTAACTTTGATGACACCACTCTCAAATGGGATTGCAATTCTGATGAGCAATCCTTCCACATTTTCTTGGTGAATTCATTTCTCCACTCTTTGAGATGACGATTTTATCTCTTCTCTTTAGACAATCTTTCAGTAACCCTGTCTCTCAGCTTTTGACCTCACCTTTTACTTCCCCTAGAAAACTGAGTCATATGAGAACTCCCTAATTCTCCTCCCACCATCAAATCCACCACTGATCCCACCCCCTACTTTTCATTCTCTGTCTTCCCTTCTGTTCTGATGGACAAAGCACCTCTGTTCGAACAAGACCAGCCGCTCCACTTGGACTCTATCCCATGGCCTCCCACCTCCTCAAGACTTCACTCCTACACTCCGATTCTCTCCCAAGCCTCATTTCTCTCTCTTTATTGGATCATTCCTATCAAATCAGGAGCACCTGTAGAATCTCCTGTCTTTAAAAAAAAGACAATAAACTTTCCCTCACTTCTTTTTAAATTGACTAAACCAGTGGTTCTGAAACTTTAGTGTGTATTCAGATCACCTGGAGGTCTGTTAAAATCCATACAGCTGCGCCGCACCTAGAGTTTCAGACTCCGGTCCAGGGTGGGGCTGGAGAATTTTCCTTCCTGACAGGTTCCCAGGTGATGGTGATGCTGCTGGTTCCAGGCCACACTCTGAGACCTGCTGGTCCATACTCACTGCCTCTTCCTCCTCACCTCCCATCCTTTCTTCACGCTCTTCCAAGGGGTCTCTTTATCTCCATTGAAACTGCCTTTGGAAGATGCCAAATGACTTCCACGTGCTCTAATCCAGTGGTCCCTGCTCCATCCTCACCTTGCTTTGACTTCTTAGAAGCACTGGAGGCAGATGAACACTCCCCCTTGGAACATGCCTTCTTCTCTTGGTGTCTTCTCTCCTTGCTTCCTCCTCTACCTCAGTGTTCCCTTCTCAGTCCCCTTTGCAGGCTCCCCTTTCTCTGCAAGACCCTTAAATATGCCCCAGGGCTTGATCCTAGATTCTCTCCTTTTCCACATACACACTCTCCCCCTGGCAGTCTCATCTATTCCTATGACTCTAAGTTCCATCTGTATGCTGACAGCTTCTAAATTTATGTCTCCAGCTCTGACATATCTGAGCTGCAGACTCTTATATCTAATTCCGACTTGACTTCTTCATATGGATGTTTAATTTGTATGTCTAAGAGACATCATCTCAAACAAACTCTTGATTACCTCCCCAGCACTGAAACAACCCCTTCCCCAGATTCCTCAGTAAAAACATTATTCACCCAGTTACTGCACAAGCCAAACATTTAAGACTCATCTTTTGGGGGACATTATTTTTAAAATTTTAAACAGCTTTATTGAGGTATAATGAACACAAAATAAACTGTATGTATTTAAAGCATGCAATTGGATAAATATTGACATATGTATGCCTACCCTAAGAAACCATAAAACAATCAGGAAAATGAACACATTCATTAGTCCCAAAAGTTCTCTCATGTCACTCTATAATATCTCTCTCTTGCTTCTCCACTCACCCACCCCCAAACTGAGGCAACCGCTGATCTACTTTCCCTCATATTTGCATCTTCTAGAATTTTTTATAAATGGAATCATACAATATATATTCTTTTTTTCTCAGACTTCCTTCACTCTAAATCATTATTTTAGATTCATCCATTTGAGGCATGTATCAATGGCTTCTTCCTTTTTACTGTTGGGAATTATAACATTGTACAGATATACCACAAATTATTTATCCATTCATCTGTTGATAGATTTTTGAGTTCTTTCTGGTTTCTGTTGTTACGAATAAAATTGCTATGAACATGTGTGAACATATGCTTTCATTTCTCTTGGATAAATACCTAGGAATAGAATGGCGAGGTCATATAATAGGTATATTTAACTTTTTAAAAGCCAGCTAAACTGTTTTCCAAAGTGGTTTTACCATTTTACATTTCTACTAGAAGCATATGAGAACTCCAGTTGCCTAGCACTCCAACACTTGATTTTAGCCCTTCAAATGGGTGTGTACTGGTGGTATCTCATTGTGGTTTTAATTTGCATTTTTCTAATGACTAATGACGCCCAGCATCTTTTCATGTGCTTATTTGCCATTCATATGTCTTCCTTGGTGAAGTGTCTCAATCTTTTGCCCATTTTAAAAACTTGGTTGTTTGTTTTCTTATTAAGTTTTGAGAGCTCTTTATATATTCTGGATAAGTGATTTGCAAATAATTTCTCTGGTCTGCGACTTGTATTTTCCTTCTCTGAACAGTTTCTTTTGAAGAGAGGTTCTTAATTTTGATGAAATCAAATGTATGAAGTTTTTCTTGTATAGATCATGCTTTTGGTATCATATCTAAAAACTCTCTACCTAACCAAAGATCACAAAGACTTTGTCTATTTTTTTTCAATGATTTGTAGTTTTAAGTTTGACATTTAGATTTGTGATCCATTTGATTCATTATTTTTAATTTTTTTTAGAATATGAGGTATAGATTGAGTTTAATTTTTTTAACATATGGATACTAAATTGTTCCATCACTATTCCTGGTAACTACTATCCTTTTCCCAATGAATTTCATTTGCACCTTTGTTGAAATCAATTGACTATATAGGTGTAGGACCAATTTGGACTATTTTATTTGATCGATCTATTTGTCAATGAAAATATTAAACACCAATAAGTGAGAGACATTCCAACCTTTCAGCTACTGTCATCTTGTTTCCAGCAGTAACTGAAGTTTGGAGTAATTATTCTTGGACCACAAATAATTAAAATAAATTACCAATTATATTGGTTTCATTCCAAGTAATTCAATCTGTATGCTGAATTCAGTAATTCAATCTATATGTTATGTCACTGAAGAACGGGTGAAATTAATGCCCCACTACATTTTAACCATCACATTCCAGCCTGTGTTTAACTGTTTTAAATCTGTCCTCTTACAATGAGACTTCTCCTTTGAGTCAGACCATTTTAGAAAATATATGTAGATTTTTATCTATCTTTGGGCTGAGTATTCCAAATTTGAAAATACGCCCTAGGTCGAACTTCATGGCCTCTTTCCCCACCCTGTCGCTTAATCCTCATAAATTAAGTGCTTCGGCTACAGCATTTATGGATGAACTATAATAAAGTGTTCATGGGCTCTTCACTGGAGGGGTTTGAATGGAGGAAGAGAACTGCTAGTGGCCTTTCTTAGCCAGCTCCTTAGCGCTCCTAAGTAATATTTAACTGTTTCATGGCAAAACCTGTCAATAAAGTAAAGTATTTTTGACTATGCAGAGGCAGGAATGGAAGTTCTTTCTCAGCTGGCTCAACTAACTGGCACGTTCTTTACCGCCCCCACTGGGATTGCAACTGGCTCTTACCAACACAGTAAGTGTACATGGGAGATGACCACCATGCCCAGTAACGTGCCCCCTCCCGGATCACCAGAACACAAAGTACAGTTAATAGTACTGGTATGGCCAATATCAATGCCTGTCTTTCACTCCTTCTCTGAAGGGATGCTATCACTTCCCTAACTAGGTAATCTCTCATCATTCAGTCATTTGTTTAGAAGGGGATTATTTGTTGCAAATATTTTGCTTCAAACCATCATTTGCAAAACTGTTGAAAACATCATCTTTAACAGTTAAGCAAAGATGTATAGTTGCTGATGTAGAGAAATAGTAAGTACAAAGAATAGTTTTTCTTAGTAAAATACAATCGATATGGTTTTATTTGGAAAAACGAATTGTAGCTACAAAGAGATGACAAAGAAGCTCGCTTAGGTTCCATTTCTAGAGTGTTATCTGAGAGGAGAAAAGTGGAACTTGTAGACGTAACAAAAGCACATTGACCTAATACAGTGTTGAAGCAGAGGCCACTTGTTAATTTTAGTCAATGTAGCAACATCACCAAATGACAGCACATTTGGCCCCGCAGGGAGTGGGACTGGCCTAGCAGAGCACAGCAGGGTGAGGATGGTGTTGCTTGCAATACAGAACAGGTTTTCTTCTTTTTCTCCTCCTCTGCCTCCCCTTCCTCCTGTTCACCCTCCTTTTCCCTCCGTTTCCTCATTCTTTTTATAAAAGAACATGTCATAAAGCATTTCACATTTTTTTCAATAAGAGTAGGAGAAACAAAACAATTATTACCTTTCCATTCAGGACAGAAAACCAAATTTAACGTACCGTTGCTTTTCAAGGACAGAAACTTTCTTAAGCACTCGCTACAGTCATATAGAGATATCTATAGAGAGAGGTGGCAGTCTGACATAGTTTAAGGAAGATACAGGGTTGGCTACAACGGGTTGGCTTTCAATGGCCTGATGGGGAAATCAGGTAGGGTGGGATTTCATGTATTGTCACTTTTAGACTGGGAGGATAAAGCACTATGTTCTCACTTAGATGACCCCTCTGCTTCTTGATGCAAAATTCAGCAGCTATTTAATTTTTGCCTTTACATAGAATATGTCACCTTGTCTATCAAAGAGTAGGCAGGCATTGGAAATGATACACTGAGTTTCTGAATTTACTTTCAAAAACAGACTATGGGTACTCGTTAGTCTTCTAAGGAGAAAGGATAGCAAACCTGATACAAATACAACTAAGTGTTTGCTGTACTTTAAACACAAAGTAGAATTCTCTCATCTAAATTCAAGTCTGCAAGGATAAAAGGAGAAAATAATGTTAGTTCTCAGTGACTGGCTGGGCCCCCCGAGGGAAAGGGCGCCCCCTTCCGTCTACTTCAGCCAAGCGAAGCTGCAGACGTGGTCCAGCCTCACAGACCTCCTGGAAGACACCTTGAAATCAGTCAGGAAACAGGTATCTCCTCTCTTCAAGGAGCTGCAGAAGAGCATCAGTGGCAGGATGATAGGTAAGAACTCTCGCTCCTTCTTTCACAGGTTAATCATGAACTTGGTTTCATACCCAGAGCAAACACAAGTTTAGGAATGATGCAAGTAAATTTTAACTTTTAAACATTTTCAGTAAAACTTTATCCCTTTTGTTTTTCACATTGCCTTTCAAATATAATGAATTTCCACTAAGAACAAATATATTTGTGTTATAATAAAAATGCTGAAGCTAGTTCCCATTTTTAAATGTTACCATTTTATTAATTCCTATCTATGTCTGTTGATTATTTACCTAGACAAAATTTGTGTTTGCTAAGCTGGAGAGCTGGGTCCTTTTCCCACTAGAATTTGCTCTAAAAGTTAAGTACCTCTTAAACCACAGCACCTATTACCTAAATTGTTCTACGATTTAAGTCCTATTTATTTTCTATCAAAAATATGTACTTTGGTGATGGGCTCCATGGCCTTTGCTGAGCCTATTGGACATCACTGAATTTATTTTCCCTTCATGCTCCATCCCCGTGATCCAATGATCAAAATAGAGCCTTCTGGAAACAATTTACTGCCTCAACTTTGCATCTTCACCTAAATTAGTCCATTTTTAAAAATTAAGTATTTTTTACCATCTGGGTAAAGAGGGTCTTTTTTTTTTGAGACAGAGTCTCTGTTGCCCGGGCTAGTGTGCAGTAGCGTCATCCTAGCTCACAGCAACCTCAGACTCCTGGGCTCAAGAGATCCTCCTGCCTCAGCCTCCCAAGTAGCTGGGACTACAGGCATGCGCCACCAAGCCCAGCTAATTTTTTCTATATATATTTTCAGTTGTCCAGCTAATTTCTTTCTTTCTGTTTTGGTAGAGACAGGGTCTTGCTCTTGCTCAGGCTGGTCTCAAACTCCTGAGCTCAAACAATCCACCCACCTCGGCCTCCCAGAGTGCTAGGATTACAGGAGTGAGCCACCGTGCCCAGCCAAGAGGGTTTTTTTTCCCACCTGTAACTACCTATCCAATTTTTTCCTAACTTTTCCCATCTGACTAAAACACCATTTATCAATCAAGTCATTCCATATCTATGCCTTTCTTTTTTTCCTCTGCCGAACTCCTTTTTTTAAGGTCTATTTACGTAGTTACTATTTATACAAGAGCTGTAAACACACACGTGTGCATGCAGATATTTTATCTTTCAATATATAGCCTATATTCCTTACATAAATGTCTCCAAAACAGGGATTTGTCTCCTTGTGTTTATGTCCTACCCACTCTATCACATTTAGGAGGTGTTCAACCAATATTTAAAAATAGTTTTGAAGCTGTAAACAGGGAAAAATTATTTCTCTTGGTTCTTTCATCGATGTTAAGGACTAGAAAGAAAAGCAGAAAGTTAAGCTTTTTAAACATAGAAGTATTTTTTGATGATAGATGTAGACAATGAGAAGTCAAGGGAATAAATTGTTTTCAAATAAATGCATGTTGTTCAAAGTGTTTAAAAAATTAAAAGATGTCTGTGTATGTATGTTTGTTATTTCCTATGGACTTAAAATATTTATGTATTTGAGCACAAAGATAAAGGGAGTGTAGAGGAATTTTTGGTAGGACTGAAAGTCTAACATTTAAACTTACAGGAAACGTATAGCGTTCTTGCAGAACGCTTTGAGATTTCATTTCAATATCAGCTTTGGCAGGATGGGTATTTTTTATACGCTGAACATTTAAATTGCTTTGGCTCATTTTATATCTTAGCATAATAGACATCCTCATGGCATAATGGAATTTTGACTTCTATTTTTGCATTTTTTTCCCACTAAAAAGCCGCCGTGAGAACAGAGTTGTTTTCTTTTCGATCACCTCTCTCACATAAATTAATTCCAGGGCATGTGGCCTTGCATTTACAGGGCAGCTTATGTTTGATACCATGGGCATGGCCCACGTGCTGAATAACCAGGAGACTGCACAGGCTCTGGCAGATGGGCTGATGGAGCTGTCGAAAGAAGGTTCTGTAAGTGATTCTTTGAAGAAAGAGGAATATAAAAACCCCAACATTTAAATAAATTCTTAGTTTGCCTTTCTCATTTTTTTACTGGTTTATCCCTTTCAGAGTACAATCCTCAGAGAAATGACATCAGTTTATAGAAACAGCCACCGAGAGATTCTGGGCACAAGATGTATTAGGTACACAAAACAGACAAGTGGGAAAATCTTCTAGGTTATTTCGAGTTTATTGCATTGTGCACTGCTTTCTGTCTCGTGCTTAATTTCAGTCAGAAGTGACTGCTTTCAAAATGTGTTGGCGGTTTTTTATATCACGTAAACATTATTCAACAGTGAAACCAGTTACTAGTATGAGGAAAAACCTGAGAAAGGGTGAAGCCAGATATAATAAGATGAAGGGAAAGGGGCTAGATGAGAGAGGAACAGAGGGAAAACATGAAAGAACAGAACTGAGCCAATCAGTGATTTGGTTGGGGACGGGGCAGGAGGTGGGGGTGGACAGCTTGAAGCAACGTTGTCATCAGAAACGAATCCTGGATACTCTCCCAGGAAAGTCAGTGAGGAGAGGCCAGCCCACAGGCCTGCTCTCCCAGCCCTGAAGACGCAAGGTTATAGGAAATGACGTCTGCAGCTCTCCGTTTTAGGGAAGTCGGGACTAGGATGGGAATAGGGATGATGTTTACATACTTGATGCTCTACAAAGTCTTCAGTTTTCTAGAGAAATATTCTCAAATCCTTCTCTTCCACTGTCATAGTTCTGCTTTGTGAGTGGATTTAATATGATCTCTGCGCAAGTTCTCTCTCCTTATTGTTGTGTATCTGCTCTGATTTCAACGTGGCTTCCTGGGTCAGCCAGTACTAGACAACCTGCAGGCTTAGCTGTCCTGCCAGGTGTGGGTCCTGAGAAGCTGCAGTTTGCCGTGAGTTGTCTCCTCTGAAGACAACTCAGCAGAGTGGCCAATGAGAAAGCCCCATGAGAAAGGCCCTGGCCAGCTTTGCTGATAAAATGGGCAGGGACATTCACAGAGATGATCTTGCATGTCTCCCGAAACACCAAAGAATCACTAAACATATTTGCTGTAGGTTCAGTGTACTTATTCCCACCTAATCATTTAAAAATAACCATGTGTGATATAATTTGGATAGTGCTCAAATCTATAAACTGAGAGGGAACCAAATTTGAGAGCCTTAGAATGTTTTTCCCGAAGTTCTGCTGCTGTCGCCTCTCTCCCAGGCCTTCTTCCCCCAGAAAACAATAAGAACCCCCTTGTCCGCTTTCCTCACTTGGCCAAGAGGTTGGTGTGGGCCACTTGGGTTCCGAAGATCTTGAGAGACCCTCCCACAAGACTTTATCACCCTAACCAGATGGGGACAAAAAGTTGAAAACCGAGAGTATATATGGTAACTGGAATATAAGACTAACTAGAAAGTCCCACCTACTGACTCTGAGTAATAATCACTTTGTTTTCTGGACATGAAAATTAATTGGGTAGAAAGCTGAAAACTCTACTAAAAAAATGTGTTCTCTTTTCTGCTGCACTGTTGATGAACTGTATTTCAGATGAATGTCTTAAATAGAAATTTTTGGGGGGGGGCATTTTTTAGGATAGACCTCTGGAATTTTTGTCATATTTTCTGCTGAAGAAATGTGGTAAAAAGAGCAAAGATTTGGAAGGAAATGTTATTCTGACAAAATGTGACCCAAAGTCAACATTCAATGTATTCATGAAGGTAAACTTGCTGCTCTATTTTTATGCCATTGCTTTGCTGTAGAATTAGGCACATTTGGTGGAGAAATTCATAAACAATAATGTTAGCACTACCCAGAAAGCTTTCAATTTGTTATTTCTCCTAAGAACTTCATTTTCATGGACTATTATAGAAAAGAGTGTTTTGTAGTTTCATAATATGAATAACATTTAAAGCCACTTAAAAGCATAAGCTGCACTATGTTGACTTGAAGAACACTATTTGGTTGTGGGGGAAGAATTTGAAATTGGCATTTTGCTTTGCCACTTAGTTTAGTCCTGAGATAAAGAGAATGTGTGTGTGTGTGTGTGTGTGTGTGTGTGTGTGAGAGAGAGAGAGAGAGATAGAGAGAGAGAGAGAGAGAGACAGAGAGAGGAAGAACTAAGAATGGTTCTTTTTTTCTTACTTGGGATTCAAATTCATAAAAGAAAAAAGTGGGGTTAAAGTTAGTTCTTCAGGAAAGAAAGAATAATTTTGCCAGTACTATATTCAGAATCCATACATTCTTGATTATGTGAAATAATCAGGATTCAGGAAATGCTGAGGATTACATTATCATTCAGAGGGCTGATTTCTATGTAGGGGGAAATGTCATTTTAGAACCACTTTATGTTCATAGCAAAGTCACCTATCTTTGATGTTTGAAGGTGTGGGATGCCAGTTCCTAACACAGACTCTCCATGGACACCGTTAGTAGAAATGGACTTGTGAGTTCCCCTAGCAGGCAAATTGTTTGTTGCACTATTAACGTGACAGTGTGGAGGTATTTTTTGTTCATGCTCCTCTGGAGGATAACACAGGGCAGGGCAAGGGCAGACACGGAGGACTGCTGGTGGCAGTGTCCCCTCTGTCAAGCTGCCTCTAACTCACTCAGCAACACAAACGGCCTGCAGTTGTTCAGACCCGCCCTTTGTATTTTTTGTTTGTTTGTTTGTTTGTTTGTTTCAGAGACAGGGTCTTGCTGTGTTGCCCAAGCCGGAGTGCAGTAGGGTCAGCTTACTGCAACCTCAAACTCCTGGGCTCAAGCTATCCTCCCTCCTCAGCCTCACAAGTAGCTGGGACTACAGGTGTGCACCACCATTCTCAGCTAATTTTTTTATGTTTGTGGAGACAGGGTCTCCATATGTTGCCCAGGCTGGTCTCGAACTCCTGGCCTCAAGCAATCCTCCCAGCTCAGCCTCCCAAAGTGCTGAGATTACAGGTGTGAGTCACCACACGCAGCCTAGACTCACCCTTCTGCAGTTGCCACAGCCTGAGCCTTAGTCTAATTCTTGCCAACCACAAACATCTCCCTGAGAGGACTCTAAATAAAGATCTTTCTGGGGCATCTCAACCATTTCTAGATGGGAACCCTGGTTGCCTGCTGCTCTTCCCCAAAATCTATCTTTAGTCCAGATTTAGTTCTTTTCAGGAAACTCTCATTGACCTCTTCTCAGGGAGAGGGCAATTCCCCATCTTTTCAGCCCAGTTCCCTAAGTATTTATAGGAGCTAACCATTCACCAGGCACTGTGGTAAACCTGAGACCAGGCAGCAAAATAAGACACAGTCCCTGCTGTTGCAGTGGATGAGACCTGCACATAAACAGACGCCATGGTGTGATTAGTGCCCGTTCACAGAATGCACAGGCAGGGCGGGCACGCTGGGGCAGGTGTTTAAGCCAGATTCCGTTTTGTTTCTCAGAAGCTGCTGCTTTTCCCTTGTTATGGCAGGTACCATTTTGGGGGGCAGGGGTTCTCGGGGATTATTCTCCCACAGGGTGGACACAGTCTCCATCTTTCAGCCTGCAAAAGCCTTTAAAAGTACCCAGGCCTCAATACCACTCATTTTCCCCTGGTTCAGTAAAGGGAAGGATCAACACAGAAGCACATTACACACATTCCAAGGTTCCAAATTCTTCTAAAATCCTTTCAACATCAGCTGATTCCTGCCTCCCTGAAAACCTACTGAAGTTCTTTCCTCCACATTTATTCCTAAAGATCAATCTGTCACCCCAAACCCCCGGCATAGAGACTTCAGAAACGCCCCTCTTTGGAGCAAGAAAACTTGAAGAAAGCAGTAAGAGCAAAACGATAGGTGCTTCCTCCTCTGAAGCATCATTTTTACGTTTGAAAAACCTAACTATTGGTGAAAACCATTTCTAGAATCTTTGACGCCTAAGGTAATGGTCACTTGGAGAATTTCCTCTCAAGTCACTTTCACTCTTAGACTATCTTAGATTTCCTCTGCCAAATATAATAAAATTCACACTGAAACAAGTCTTTTCAACCTGCTGGTGACTTAAACATCTAATCACGTTAATAAAATAATGCATGAAATTTGGGCTTAAAGTTGCCTCATTGCTGGAAATCAGGCCTGCTATTTTTACATTGTCTGTCTGTAATAAAACTGGAGAAATGCAAAACTCCTTAATGCCTAGAAATTTCTCTGATGTTTTTCTTTTTTTAATCAAATTAGAAAAAAATGTGTTAGATTCTCATTTGGTTTTCTATTACTTAACACTAAGAACTTTTGCACAAAGCCCGCAAAACAAATTTGGGGACTTCTAGGAGGGAGAACTACAGCTTAAATGTAAGTGCTGAATTAGGATAAAACCGAAAAGCTGCTTTTCTGCTCACATTAGGGTTTATTTTTAAAAGCGTGGGTACTCGTTCAGAAGCCTCAGGAGCCGTAGTAGGGGAAAGTGACAGCTTCTCTGAGATATTTGTTTTAAAGACCCTTCCACAGGGGCTTGTGAAATAGGGCTGTCAAATCTAGGCCTCTGTGTATCTATCTAGCTATCATCTCTCTCTCTGTCTCTCTTGCTGCCCAATCGTTAGTTATTCCTGGTTTTTGTCTGCCTGTAGTGTTTATGCTGATACCATGCAACCATGGTGATGGGTGGCGGCCAGAATCATAGTTCCTGAGCTCTACCTGTCATTTTCACAACTATTTACGGCCTTGAATCCAGGCAGCCGAGTGTTTTCTGGCAGAAGTATCAGCAATGACTAGAATGTCTCTGGAAAATGCAGTGTCTGCCTGTGCTCAATCCTAGAGGAAAATTCCTTCCACGTGCTCAAAGCCTATTTCTGCAAGCTGATTTCTTATGGTCTCCCTTGCGTATGTCATGGAGAGAGCCAAGGAAAGACTCACCAACTCAAATTAATAGTTTTGCCTATAAATGTACAAAGTTTGTTGCCTCTGTTACTTCCTCTGGATTTATTCCTAAAATCTAAGTAAGAGACGGCATCTTAATCTGAAAAAAAGCTCAAAATATTCTAGCAATTAAGTGTATAATATAAAATGAATGAAGTTGCCAATTTTAGGTTCAAATAAAATTACTATGCCCAATTAATTTCCTAACCACAAAGAAAAATGTATATTTTAAAACATCGCTGCTGACCAGAGGAGAAACAAAGCCCCACGGTGAGCAAGCAGGTTCTGAAATAGCCACGGTGGGCTGTAGGTCCACGCTGACGCCTGAATTTTAATGCATGAACATTCAAATGAGCCTGTACAACAGGGCGATATCCCAGGTAGAGATGGCTCCCTTACCTGTGAGATCCACACTACAGTTCTGTACTGTTCGAGTGATCTTAATTTTGGCCCAAACAATGTGAGCTTGATTTTCATTTTATGTCTGCAACCACTTTCTACCTACACAACCATTGGTGTCACCACTGACTCGCTGAAGTTCTCTCTCTACTATACATAATCAGCACTATTATTTACTTATAAAGAAGAGTGTGTTCCAGTCAGAGAGAAATTTTGAATCATTTTGTCACAATTCAAAGTAGATTTTTTCCCCCAGCCATAAGTGTAAATACATGCCAGGCTGATCCGGGGAGGACAGAAGAAATGACTAAAAGACTCCCTGGAGTAGATGCGACATGTTTAGGCTCAGGTGGGGCCTCCTGGCACCCAGGGCTAGAGCTGGCTGCCGCAGCTCAAGAACCAGGGCTCTTGTACAAAGGCTGCGGGCTGCCATAGGAATATGGAAGCTACTAAATAAAAATTCATTTTTGCCTGAGTAAGGCAAAGGAGTCATAGATACAAACTGATCCTCGCCCCTGGACAGCAAGGGATTACCAATCGTAGCTTTATCTTTGACTAGGAAGGCCGCAGCCATGACCATTAATCAGCTTCATCTCTCAGTATAAACCCGGGGCCGCTGTTCCATCGCTAGGTGGATGCTGGGATGCTGCAGGCAGTAGAGGTGGGGTGGGGGCTCATTTTTTAATGTGCTAAATGATATGGCGGCCACGACGAGAACAATCAATCGGCAAGCTAAAGCGAAGAAAGGAGCAGCCAGATTGAAATGCGCAGGCCTGGAAAGGGTACTTGAATTGTCAATGACCCATTGACATTAGGTGAGAAAGGGGAGAATTTTATAAAGTGTTGTTAGCTTTTTCCTTCTGGCATCTTAAAAACAGGATGACCTATTTGCCTTCAACTGAGAAGCTACAGAGCAGAGCAGAGGTGGAAGCATGTGTGTGATTCTTCAAGCCTGAGAGGGAGGAGACCTGGCATAGCAGTGTCTCTCCCTCCCTCCTAGGGAGAAGGGAGCGTCAATGAATTTAGTTTCTCAAGTATAATGTAGTTTAAAGGAAGACAAAGGCTATTTTCTTAAAACATAAAATTTAAGAGAAGCATCCAATTTGTCAAGCACCTCATTGATCGTGTCTAGGGCCCGCTGTGGTCATGGCTGCAGGCAGCTTCCGAGGGCCTCGTGAGTACAGTGTACACCCTGAGCTCGCAGAGATCCCAAGCCTACCTCCACATAATCAACTCTCCATTTAATCTTCAGGAAGGAAACATCACAGAAGACAATTCTCAGGACCCAAAGTCAAGTCTCAGCAAAAATGATCTAAATCTTGAAGCGCTGGTGAAACTGGTAAGCCAATTATTACATCGCACGAATGTACCATTTGTTTTGCTCCTGACAGTGAAGCGTCAGCCTGTACTCTGGTTAGTTCTTTGTTTTCCTTGAAAATTTCCCTCAGGGGTCTTAAAAAAAAACCCAAATATAATTGGGGGAATCCAGCTGGTAGATTTTTGTTTCAAATAAGCCCTGGACTGAAGCAGAAGTTGAGCCAGAAGAATGGAGATGTTACATCTTGGGAACAAAACCAATCTGCATGTTACTCCATGGTTTCCCAATATGATACCAGGATGTCATTTAAGGAAACGGCACATGGACAAAGGTTCACAGTTTGTAACTGATCTACCAACTTGTGGTCTGACTTCAAAAGTTGACTGTAATGCAGATAATGTCTAGGGCTCCGTCCTTCTGTCTAAAAAGGGTAGTGTGTGGAAGAAGCCATAGCACCTACGGTAGCTGGTCCTGTCCTACTGTCTTCCCTGGCATGTATGGACTGTTTTGTATTCTTTAACACACGTACGCGTTTATCACATTTCATTCTCAGAGTCCTGTAAAGCGGATGTTACTAGCCACATTTCATAGACAGAACTACAGTTAGAAAAGTTAAATGGCTTCCCTAAGGTCAGATAATTAGGAAAGAAAAAAACCTCAAATCCTGCATCGCTGAGCTCAGAGTCTGGGTCTTTCCCAGACCCCTGACACCCCAGGTGTGTCCACTCACTGCAGATGGTGCAGGTTATGGACCCCCAGGGCATGCATGCTCACTCACCCCCAAATCCACCAGGAATCACCAAAGAGAAGTGTATTTACATAGTGCAGTGAGTATAATAGTATTTCATCTGACTACTGGTAATAATATCTGACAATGGTTTTGAGACAACAACGAAAGGTTTAACAATGAAAACCTTAAGTCAAAACGATTGTACATGTTGGATAACTCCAATATTCAAACATATATACATACATAAATGCACAGAAAAAATATAATAATGAGCTACAAGCCAACTGCCAAGTGGGATGCGGATGTAATTTTTAACTCATTAGATGTGTCTAAATAGGTTTTATGTACAGATCATGTGTTTGGAAGATAAAACTTAAGTAACCAAGAACAGTGTGTTTATAGATTTCAAACAGAGTGAGTTTTCTCATTTGTCTCTTAACTTATTTTTTACATTTTAATTTTAGTTAATGAAATTATGATTGACTCATCTTGGTGAAGATCACATAGCATTACACTTAGTACTGTTATATATATATGTATATTTTTCATTTCAAACGAGACATTTATTTAAACAAAAAGATGCTTAACTTGAAGGGAAAACTATCTAGGAATCATTTTTTCAAGTAATTTATTCTCACTTAAAGACAGATTGCCCTACATGTAAGAGCTACATATAAGAATGTTATGAAATTGTACTTGGTTTTACAATGATAAATGAAAAGCACCAAAATTCTCCAACCAAACAAGGTAGGCAAGGATATATATAGAGAGAGTTAAAACAGTGAAAAAATCTTATTGGAATATAAAGATGAAAGCTGAATGAACATGCCACTGAGGGAGAAAGGGAGTCTTTTCGCAGAACCAGAACCAGTATTTTTCCCCATCCCACCTCCTTTCTGATGTTGATCAACACATACCACTGGCCATTAATTTTAAAAATGCTTGTGTACATACACCACTTACTTGATGTACAGTAAAGGAATGGGGAAGAGAAAATGAAAGAATAGAGAAAACTATACTGTAACAGGATATGATGGAACCGAATTGCAGTTTTCTAATTGAGAATGTGTTCTTGGTCTGTAGAGACAGCCCTCTGGAGTAAATAGCAGGTTCCCCTTGCAGTAGACACCCCCTGTCTGCCGCTGGAACACATTGATTGTATCGTCCACCTCCGTCTCCAACTGCACTGGTGTGTTTGCTTCATTGATTGGGTGTCTGTCACATTGGAATCTGATCTGCCTCACCAATAAACCGTGTCATTCTCAAATGACAGAGTAAAATTAAGTTTACTCTTAATTTTAAACGGTACCTGAGAACTGTCCGGCCCCACCACGTCCAAATTAATACGATCCATCTTGACTCCTTCCTTGGGCTTTTTGCTGGCCATGGTGAGTGCTGGAGTCTCCTTAGCTGCTGCTTCACAAGAGATACCAGGTCCGCACACCATGAGGACATGAGCAGCAGCAGGAGCAGCAGAAGCAGTATCGTCTTATTTTATTTGGGGCAGTGTGGGGTATACCTAGGGCTGGAGGGAAGGAGGAAATTGCATTCTAAGAGTATTAATAGTTCTAGGCTCAAATACAAAGGCATTACATCTTTAAAAAATTAAACATTGTAACCATTTTCTATTATAAAGATGTTCATCTTATAACTTCTGAAATATACAGATAAAAGGAAAAAAAATACCTAGTTCCAGCAAAATAAAACAAAATTTGGAAATATAGAAAACACAGGACATCTGGCAACCTAGCTAGCCAGAGAGGTGGGCTCACAGCTCCCAAGTCGGATACTTTTTCCTAAATATACCAAAAGAACAGCATATGTTTCAGTTTTTCATAATATGCCAGTAGGAAGCAAATTAGTTAACAATGAGAGGGTGTCTTAGTGTGTTTGTGCTGCTATAATAGAATACCTGATATTGGGTAATTTATAAAGAACGGAAATTCATTTCTCACCATCTGGAGGCTGGGAAGCCCAAGATCAAGGTCAGCATCCGTTGAGGGCTCTCTTGCTGTGTCCTCGCATGGAGAAAGGTGGAAGGGCAAGAGAGGACCAACTGCCTCCACAAGCTAAGGGCACCTAATTCCATTCATGCGGAAGGAGCCCTCATGGCCTAGTCACCTGTTAAAGGCCCCACCTGTTAATGCTATCACATTGGCAACACCTGGATTTTGGAAGGGACACATTCAAGCCATAGCAGAGTGCTAGCTTGTTTCAGTTCTGCTGTCTGCAGGATAATCAAGAGAACACTACTGGGAAAAAGAAATAGGAAGACAAACAAGAGCGGACAACCCAAAGGCTTCCTCACCAGACTGTAACCTCCATGCAGGCAGGATTCTGTCATTTTCTCATCATTACATAGCCAGCACCCAGCATAAGACACTTAAGACACATTTGGATGGATAGATGGATAAAAGTAAGGTTTCCACCTGCCCGCTTTTACATCCAAGGTTAAAAGTCCCCTGTCTACAAAGGCATAAGGCTGGCCTGACGTGAGGGGCTATTTGGTGATACTGGGGACCAGTGATGGCCAATGGGTCTTCCATAGTCCCCTCTCAAGGTTCCCTTCAACCCGCATTTCACAAACCAGGACCACTGACTGCTCAATACTTCCTCTTCTCTAACTGCGTGGACTCCAGGCTTCTGGAGGCTGTAAGCCTGAACAGAGTCATTATGCTTTTTCCTATGAATTCTTAATGCTTTTTATAGGAGAGGAAACTCCAGATGGACTCAGCAGAAAAGCGAACTAGAGTGGTCAGGGAACTCTTACAGAGCGAGAGAAAATATGTGCAGATGCTGGAAATTGTGCGAGATGTTTATGCAACGCCACTGAAAGCAGCATTGTCATCCAACAGAGCCATTCTGAGTGCTGCAAATATCCAGATCATTTTCTCTGATGTTCTGCAGATTTTAAGTCTCAACAGGTAAACCGTGAATAGGTATTTTTAAAAATACTCATTGTGCCATGGGAGGAGCCCACACTTTATTGTATTAAGAGCTGTATGGAGGCTCAGTCCTTCTCTGCCACTCGCGGGGACCCTGGCCATCTCAGAGAGGAGAGAGCCTCCCCGTCACATCAGTCACCATGCTGCGGGCAGGCGCGGTGATTCCCAGGGCCACGCCTTCCCCAGGTCACAGCCACAGTGCCTGGGGTGGGGCGCAGCGCCTGGGCGGTCTGTAGTCGACAGACAGTTCACGCAACAGACAACTGGAAGGAGAGCCACAGGGAGCTGTTCTTCCTCAGCGGTGTCTAGTTGAGCAATGGTAAGGAACTGAAGCATTTAATGGGATTAAGCCACAAGGATCCTTTGCTTACAAAGCTGAGGTCAGTTTAATAACAGCATATTTTCGAGTACATACCATGAGAGAGAAAAGTGATCTACCTGAGGGCAAGGAAAATTAAACTGAGCATGTGCATCTCTCACAGTAACTCTCTGGGTAACTCGGAATAAGTTCCTCATCCTCAAGGGCCCCCAAATCGTATGAAATGAAGAGGTTGAACTAGGCTCTTCCGTGTTCAAGGACTGTGATAGCCGAGTGAGGGGTTTCTGCGTTTAGCTGTGGAAGCGAGTGGAGCACTGTCTTCGGAACACTGGACCTCCGTGCCTGCCTGTCTGGCTACAGGGGAATGGGGCATTCAGGGGCAGCTGTATGGAGGCCAGTGTGGGGTTCTGGCTCAAGGAATTAAGGTGGAGATGCGGGATCCCACCACAGGCGACCTGCTCCCTCGCGGCTCAGCTCCCCGTTCCTGCCACATCTGCACTGTGTCAAGGACAGAGCACTTGACCAAAGCACTAGGCTGAAAAAGGCTGCACTAATGACAATGAATCGACTGTTTAAGTCTATAGGTTACCCTAGCTAATAGTTCATCGCTATGCTTTTCTCATATTGCAGGCGGTTTCTAGACAACCTGAGAGACAGACTACAGGAATGGAGCCCTGCTCACTGTGTGGGAGAGATAGTCATGAAGTTTGGAAGCCAGTTGAACACATATACCAATTTCTTCAACAATTACCCTGTTGTTCTGAAAACTATCGAGAAGGTAAGCGATTGAGTTGCAATCGATCATCCTATTAGACCTTCTGAGCTCGAAAGGAGGTTTTGGGGGCAACCCAAAGGACTGGAGTTAATAGAAAAGGTTCTTCTCTGCTCTCAGCTTCCAGCTCTCCTCCTGTATATTGTGAACTCTTTGAGGACAGGGACCCTGACTTAGGGGCTAGCACCGTGCTTGATACACGGCAATGCCTGGGAACTGGTTGTTGAACTGAACTAATCCTCATAAAAACTGCTAGACTTTCACCTGCCCCAGACACTCTGTGGTTCGATTCCAGGAAAAGGTTCAACAACTAGGCAGAAGCAAGACTGAGCCTTGATCTCAGTCTGCTACTGCAATGCTGTCTGGCCTTGACAAGGTCAGCTGTCTTACATAGAAGGTCTTACATAGAAAGTGAATTAATAATCCATGTATTTCTTGAAATAAGGACATTCAACTTATGAAATCTCACTATGAAATAAGGAACTTTTGGGTCTGACATTTGGTCTTCCATTTCCTAACAGCTCACTGTAAACAGTTTTCCCTGTTGTGATTCATGCCATTACTTAATCTGAGCAGGAATATCCAATTCTCTTCTGCACCATTCTCTTGCTGCTCTTGTTGGGATCTCTTCTGATGGGAATGAGATCCCTCTCTCTCCCCTCCTCAATTTGTATTGAAAGTGTGGCAGCAGAGGCTGTCTTGCTACATGGCAGCCACGTGGCAGTGCACTTTGTCAGTATCCACTGTGCCCATGTGTCTTCACCGAAGGCCTGCGGGCTGGGAGGCCTCTGGGTGATTTCTGCCCTTGGACATTTTCCTGTGTAGTGTTCCTCCCACCCCACCCAGGGAGTCTAGTCTCTGCTGGACAACTTGATGATGCAACTGACCTTGAGGACAAGACTTGGAGCAAAGCATCACATGGTATCAGAAACAAATTGGTGCCGAAAATTTTATAGCTATGGATAATAATAATACTTATTTCATTAGCATAGCGTGTGCATATAAGTACTCAATAAATGTTAGCTATTATTATTGAAATCAGTGAATATTTGATTTCTAGAAATTAGCATTGCTGACCTCTTTCGGGCATGTAAAAGGAGGTAACTTCACGGGTGCTCTAACAGTGATGAATGAATACATTTTAAAACAGATATTAAGTACAGTGGAACACTCGTGTAACATTACTAGGAAAACATGATTAACGGCAGTAACTAATGGTGAATACCATTCATAGTCAAGTTTTTGCTATAAGAAAATAACGTTTACTGCATGATGGGCACTTTATGGATAGGATTGTTTTTTTCCCCACACCCCAGAATTAGATATGGTGTCCATTTTACAGATGAGAAAGCTGAGGCTCAGAGAAATTAAGTAACATGACAAGGTCACACATTCAATGTATTCTGATTTGAATCCTGGCCCCCTGGTTGCAAAGTCCATTCTTATTTGTCTTTATTAAGTTTGATGAACCGGTCAGGCCTATAGTATAACTAATACACCATAGTTAATATATTAGGAAGACACCAATAGCACTAGTAATACTCTGATCAGATGTAGACGTTGCTCTTTTGCTTCCAGTGTTCCATTGACCATGCTTGCTCGATGGGACAGAAGGCTGTACATAGAGCCAAGTTTTGACAATCTAATTCTCACCTTTTAGTGCAGAGAAATGACACCAGCATTCCGAGCTTTCCTCAAGAGGCACGATAAGACTGTTGTTACCAAGATGTTGACGTAAGTTCTTAAGGAGAGCACAGCTGGAGCCCCTCAAAGACAGGGTGTTCCTCGACCTTCAGGTAAAGACCGGAGTCCCCTTCCCTCTGCCTTGTCCAGCCTGCCGGAGCTGCTTTTGTACCCATCCCGAAGATTTGAAGAATACATTAATCTTCTCTACGCCCTGAGGCTTCACACTCCTGCAGAACACGTCGACCGTGGGGACCTGACCACTGCAGTTGACCAAATCAAAAAATACAAAGGTTATTTAGATCAGGTTTGTTGCTGATAAGAATCTGTGTCCTTTAACAATGTTACAGTGCTTTTGTGGTGCTCTCACTCGGAGACCCTGAGATACTTTTATCTCCTTGTGGTGTTCTTCACTTCAGATCTTTCATCCTTTTAAAGCTAAATCAGTAGCTGTGTTCAGTGATTTTGAACCCTGAAGGCATCTATTCTAAGCCAAACAACATCAGAGAGAATGTTTTCAGATGTCTGTACAAATACAATAAAACCTCTGTGAAAGTTTGAAGAATGAGGTATTTGGATTGGTTTTTCTGGATAACTAAAAGAAAAAAAACCAAAATGTAAAATCCTTTGTTTCTGAAAATATTTTTAACGTGCTAATTAGCTTTCCTGCCTTAGTAAGTAGAATGATCATAACTACTCTCTGAAGAAGTAATTAAGCATCCTGGAGTACAGGTTCTGAAAATACCATCGTAGTATTGTGCATACTGTACAGCAGTCTGGGCTGATTGTAAACTAACACATTGTGCCCTAGAGATGCTTTTTTGAAGACAGTTTTGTTACTTGCCTTTGTTTCGAAACATTAGGTACAGAAAATTGAAATTTTTTATTATATGAAATCCTAGGCTCTGTATCAAGTGCCATAAAAATTTTAATCTATGTCTTTTATGAATAAAAAGGTCACAGATTGAGTTTGCCTAAAATCACCTTTTTTCCTAGATGAAGCAGAACATCACTATGAAGGATCAGCTGTCAGATATACAGAGAATCATCAGGGGGTGCCCCGTACGTATTCCGACGTTCTTGCTATATCCCACGCTCAGGAACATAACCTCAAGTCACTGGCAAAAGGAGACAAATGGGTCTCGAGGCAGCTAACGTTCGTGGGGTCCCCGCTGTGTGTCAGGCACTGCCAAGCTCTCCAGTTCCACACCCTTGTTATCTGCGAGGGTGCTGTGTACGAAGAGGCACAGGGGGTTTGTTCTTATCCCATAACTTTTCTACCGTCTTTGCTCCTTTATTGGTATTCCTGTGGTCATGACCCCCTTTGAGGAAAGGGGCCATGTGTCCTGTTTGTCTTCTATCTCCTTGCATGTAGTACCTGGTACAGCATTCTGCACACTGAGCATGTCTGAACAATTTTAGAAGTTGTCTGTTAGCTATCTGTTACCTAGAGAATGTCACCTGGCCCCATCCTACCTTCTCTCTTACAGCTTCCCCTACCACCTTAGGCTCACACCACACAGATCTGCTCATGACTGTCTAAGAATGTTAGCCCCTTTTCACACATCTGTGCTTTGCACATACTTTCTTCCCTTCCTATTCCACTGGATAAACTCCTATTCATCTTTAAAACTCTAACTCAATCATTTTCTTTGCAAAGTTTTCCCCAATGTCTCCAGCTGTGAATCGCTCCTTCCTAAGTATTTTGTATTCTGAGCATGTTATATTTTATCGCAATCCTTCATTCACAAAACTAGGAGCTCCATCATGTATGAGCTACAATTTATGTGTCTTCTAGTGTCTGGCACACAGAAGGGGCTCAATATATGAATTATGTCAAATTAAAGTATCTACTGATTGGAGATGTAATTTTTATTTGGTCAAATTGGGGAAGCAAGATGGAGTTATTTTGTCATCATTTCAGTTTGCACATTTGGTAGGGAAAGAGAAGTAGAGTTGACTGAATTGCAAAAGTCCAGAATCTCAGAACCCACAGTCTGCAGAACTTTATCTCTGGGTCACTGTTCACGCCAAGGTATCATCTCTGTGACTAGATCGATACAAGGGCCTGACTTTTTAATCTGTATTATTAATAATTCATTCACTTCCTTTGCTTCATGGCTCCCTTCTTGCCCACCCTGAACTTTCGTTTTTGATACTAGGAAAGTGTTTACAAATAAAACAATGATTTTAGTAGTTTAAAAAATTTTGATAACATTCTTGGATATAGTTTTCTTTATCAACACTGTGGTCTTTCTAAAGAAAGCTTGTTTTATAAACAATGAAAACATTCACTTTTTCATAATTGAACTGAATTTCACTCAACACTTCCATATTCTGGGATATAAAATGGTTCTGCAGTAGTGAGATTTTTTTAATTTAAAAAATTTATATATGTTTCTAATTTTTTTTTTGATTTTATAGACTCTGTCAGAAGTAAACAGGTATCTGATTAGGATCCAAGAAGTAGCCCAACTTCACTGCTGTGATGAGGAGATAAGTTTCTCTTTAAGGTAAACAACAATTAACTACCTAATGCTGTGAACTCCTACGAGCAGGTGACTCTCTTACTCATCTTGTATTCCCAGCATTCAGTACAATGTCTGACATGTTGTAGGTTTATGATAAATCTTTGCACTGAACTGAAAAGTTACTCACATACTCCTCTGAGATAGTGTAAGGTATTTTATCACTGCGCTCTAGGCAGCTACTGCGTAGAATGGGAGAAAATAAGTTGTCCCTGCTGGGACCACAAACTCCACAGAAACAGGAGTTCTGAAGGTTGGTCACTTTCCTACTTGGATAAGATCCAAGTGTTGATTTCATACCAACGATCTGCTCAACTGTAAGAAAGAAAGGACCAATTTATTGTTATCCTCAGATAGTTACTGAGGTGAGTATTAAAAATGACCTCATGATATCCACTTTGCATAGTGCTTAGAGTAGTGTAAGAACAAAAGATAGAAGGATGCTAATTTCCATAAATTAGTTACCCCTTTTCTCCTTTAGAACAAGGATGGGCAAACTTTTCTCCAAAGGTTCAGAGATAGTAAATATTTCAGGTTTTGCTGGCCAAATGATCTCTGTAGCAACTACTTAACTTTGCTATTGTAGCACAAAAGCAGCTACATAAATGATACAATACATAACAAATAACACACTATTCATAAACAATACAATACATAAATGAACATGGCAGTGTTCCAATAAAACTTTATTTACAAAAACAGGTGGTTGACCATACTTTGCTGATGTTTGCTTTAAAAAACTATTTGTCAAACTGTGTTTTCAGTATTAATGGCAAAGATAATGACTCAACAAATAGCAACCAAAAGGAGGGGGAATTAACTCCTTTAATTTGTCCAATTCTAATAAAGATAATAAAAATTGATTTGTTATTTCAAGGAATATTTCAGCAAATGTTTCCCAAAGGCACAGGGCAGCAGGGTAGGTGGAAGAAATCAGTCCCCTCACCTCCATCCTCACACAGACTGGATCTTAAAGGAAAATCAAATCACAGAACAGTGTCGCTTTTCCCAATGTCAAGGCATTTTTGTTTTCTTTGGTTTTGCTGTTTTGGGTTAGTAGCCATAGGAAAGAGCTACAATGATTGAAGGAAACTAGCTGTCAAACCAGCAATTTTAAACACACTGGTATGGCAGGAGACATGCTAGGGATTGTTCCAGTTTTTGGTTATTAGATTATTTTAACTTCATATATTCCTTCTCAAACGCCCTTCCTTTCTTTATGTAAGTGTGAGTTTCTATATCATTTTCCTTCTCTCTGCAGAACTTCTTTTAACATTTCTTAATGTTCTACTAAGGTATATTGGAAATAAATACCCTACATGTTTGTTTGTCTGATAAATTATTTCTCCTTCATGTTTGAAAGAAAATTTTGCTGGATACAGAATTCTAGGTTGTTGGTTTTTTTTTTTTCTTTCACCACTTTAATTATTTCATTCCACTCTCTTCTTACTTGCATGGTTTATGAAGAGAAGTCCAATGTAATTCTTATCCTTGTTCCTCTATAGGTAAGGTGGGTTTTCTTTGTATTCTAGATTCTTTCAAGATTTTTTCTTTGTCTTTGATTTTCTGCAGTTTCAATGTATTATGGCTAGGTGTAGAATTTTTGGTATGTATCCTGCTTAGTGGTCTCTGAGCTTCCTGGAGCTGTGGTTTGCTGTCAATAATTTTTTTTTCCAGCTTTTAAATATATTTTTTATTCAGACTATCAATCTTTTAATTACCTATCTTATTGCCCTAAGCAATTGTTAGCTAGGCAACAATTTGCCTTTTAAAAAGATGATGTCTAGGGGAAACAAGGCAAAACATTTATATTTCAAAAGCACAGAGCTAAGACCTTAGGCCTAAATATCGTACCATCATTTGCTCATACCAAGGAAAAAAAGGTTTTGTGTAAAGTCCCAGTTAAGACAAGATGGCCAGGAAAAGTATCCAACAAAGGTAAGACTAGTCATTTAGAACAATGGTTAAGGGTTTCTAGTCCTCCCTCTCAGACACTCTTATAAATGGAAATTTCCTTTATAGATACAAATTTCTCTTATAAAAGTGTTTCAAGATATCCAACTAGGGGCCAGGAGTCGTGGCTCATGCCTGCAATCCCAGCACTTTGGGAGGCTGAGGCGGGAGGATCACCAGAGGCCAGGAGTTTGAGACCAATCTGAGCAACAAAATGAGACCCTGTCTCCACAAAAAAAAAAAAAAAAAAATTAGAAAAATCAGCCAGGCGTGGTGGCATGTGCCTGCAGCCCCAGCCACCTGGGAGGCTAAGGCTGGAGGATCACCCAAGCCTGGGAGTTTGAGGCTGCAGTGAGCTATGACGACGTCACCACACTCCAGCCTGGATAACGAAGCAAGACTCTGTCTCAAAAAAAAAAAAAAAAAAAAAAAATCTGATTAAATGCCAGAGAGGTGTGTTTTAGGTAGGTGGTCTTTTTAACTTAGCTACCATTTTCTAGCCAAAATTACTGAGTTCGGGGTGAAGTCCACTAAGGAATAGGGTAAAAAAAAAAAAAAGGGCATTTCTATACCTGGACTTAGCATGGATAAATCTGAAAAAGAAGCAAGTCTATCTTACCTGAGGGCCTACCTTTTGTAAACACTTTATCCAGGATAGCTTTCTTTTTGCCTTTGGGACAGGATAGTAACTAAGCCAAAAGGTTAGCAGGTTTGATTTTTCATATTAATTAGTCATTTAAACTTTTTATTTGCCTTTTGTAAAGACACTTTTTAAATATTTTTGCAAGCGTCTGCACATCACTAGGCATCCCCAGATGCTACTAATTTGAAGGCCCTGATAAAGCTGTCCATCTGGGACGTTTCTGTAAGCATTTGGTGCTTCTGGGGCCCGATACTTACAAGTATGTAGGTAGATGCAGGCACAAAGTAGAGTAATCAGTTCTTCAGGAATTAAGGATCCCATTTTTACCTTGAATCTTGGCTTTGGCTCTCAGATCTCCATGATCGACTCGGGCAATGATTTTTCCTTACCCAAGCATGCAGGAAAAGGAACAAAGGGATAGAACACAGACATCCCTGTGAATTCCTGAAAGCTGAAGTTCACACCCGCTGTTGTTTTGCCATTTACTGCCAGTTTCTGCCTGACCCCGTGAGACATCTGAGGCCTTCTAACTGGATCTAAGCCAGTTAATTATTGGATCCAATCTGATCCCAGAGCCAGTCCAGTTTGCACTGTGACTTTTGAACCAGTTAGGATTAAAAATTTGCTTAAACAAACTTGGAGAGCTCAAAACACAAATGTGTGGAGTTTGGAATCCACGAGAGAACTTACCCACAAGCCCCAGTTACTTTGAGAGAGCTGTGGACACAATGGGCCTGTAGGTACCTCACTTGTTCACTGGTGCTCCCGGGGGTGGGAGTTCTATTTTGGAACACACTTCTGAAAAATTAAATTTAACAGAGTTTAACTGAGGAAAGAACAATTCATGAATTGGGAAGCCCCCGAACCGGAACAGGTTCAGAGAGACTCCTGCTCGGCCACATGGTTGAAGAAGATTCCTGGACAGCAAAGGCAAAATGAGGTACAGGGAATGGAAATGAGGTTGAGAAACAGCTGGATTGGTTACAGCTCAGTGTTTGCCTGATTTAAACACAGTTTGAGCAGTTGGCTGCCTTTGATTGGCCAAAACTCGGTGATTACCAAAGAAGGAAATGGAGCTGACTTCAGCCAGGACAAACAGCTGACATTTTTGCTTTTGAACTGTTTAGTTAAAGTATCCATCTAAGTGAAACTGATAAGCCTCAACCTAACTTATAACTTAATCAAGGAAGCAAGAAGTGTCTCCAAAGAGGTGGAAAACAGTTTTTATGGGATGCAAAAAATTCACAAAACAGCTCAAAGAAAGGAAAGTCTCAGTAGCCTAAACTTGGTGTGACCCACATTGTTGTCCGGGTGTATTTTCTAGGGTCTCAGCATCTCAGCTGACCATGTATACATAAATGTCTAAAAGCCCCCAAAGCTCCCATAGAATACAGAAATCAAAAGCTGTGTGCAGAAGGGAAAATAATCAACAATTGCCAAAAGTTATGCAAACATCAACCCAGGACAGGCTCATCCCTTACCTGGGAGTCAAACCTGGACTGCTGAGATAGAAAGCACAGAACTTTAACCACTAGGCTACAAGGTAAATTGGCTTCTACCATTGTTGCCACAGGGGTAGTGTTCAAAGGATTTTTATCTTTGTTTTAGATATTTGCTCTTTGATTTTGTCAAGAAGAATTCCTAAGGCTAGCCATGAAGTTATTATGTGTTCTTCTTTTAGTTCTGATCTTTTCATAAATACAAATAAGGCAATTATTTAGAATAAGAGATCTCTAAAATCTATTTATTTTTTAAATTTAGGAGGCTTTAATCTAAAGGATTCACTTTGGCCATTATATTTTTTAATGAGGTACTTGTTTTAAAGTGAGTTAATCCAACAGCCTCTCCAGATGTAATCCAAAGATCCACTCATTTTCCAGAAGTAGGCTAAGATAGCAAAAAAAGTTGAGGCAACAAAAACTTCTTATGAATGGGACCTTTTATGACCAACACAGAAAGACAGAGCAACAGGGAAAACACTATTTCTGGGAGGAAAGGGAGTCACATAAACATATATATCAAAGCAAAAAGGCCTTACAAAACAAGTGAAACCAAAAATTCAAGAGTATTCTTCCAGACAGACTCTCTATTCTCCCTCCAGTTGGGGAGAAGTCTTCCCAAGACAAGACTCTTCCTATAATGTAGGGAAAGCCAACCAAGACCCATGAGGGAGCCACAATGCCTCCAGAGAGGCTAAAAATTGGAAGAAGGAAGGGGGTGCTATGTGCGCTTTGAATACTCACCAGGCTGTCTTCTAGTTCCAGAGATCTTTTCTCCACTAAAAACAGGTCCAAGCACCATGGGTCAACAATGTCAGCGATGGCACCAGAGATGGCCCTCAGTCCAACAGAACTGAGCAACCACTAGGGCACATCTCTCAGGCTGCCCC